AAGAAATCAAGGAATCATTATAGCTTAACTATCAGAGACGAGACTCTGTAAAAGTATTTCCATCGAGACGGAAACTAGACATATGCGATTAACGGCTACAAGATGTTACACACCGATATCCCGTGTGAGTACACGTGTAGCCCGAGTCATAGGTAAGGAAATAATCCGAAGACGACGAACCGCGTGTAGTGCTGTGAAACGTCTTCGTCCAGAGAACGAAGGCGACATGGTGCCGCTAAACAATAGCGATGGTTTATTCGTGTCTACAAGAGCTGTTGCGGTAAAGAGAGGAAAAGAAGCGGAGGAACGTGAGCGGCGCGTAACGCGCGCGCAAGAAAGGCATATAGGCGGTGATCGCTAGCGCAACACGTTTAGCCGTTGCCTACCAGGGTTCTCAATTTGATGGACGAGCTGTTCGCATGTACGAGCCGTACGTCCGCCAGGCTATAGTTTGCTTTTACACACCGACAACAGCCGACTACGCTATCTGGCTGTTTTGCAAATTTCATGCAGCTCGGTGAGCGGGAAGGAGAAATTATCGCCCTTGCGGCGTGGATTAATCCTTTTGCTATGAAACGTTGTCGTTAACGGCTGTTTATCAATTACTGCGCGTTTTTAAGATCGCTGTTTCTCGTATGGTCAGTCCATTGTGTCGTGGACGTGAAACTAATTCGTATCGATCCTGTTCCCACGGTAACGAGTGTGTATTTTAACAGCAAAGAATGGAATTGAGATTGTACTAATTTTAGCTTTAAAGAAATTCACCATGAAATAAGGGAATCTTAATACGAATCGAACCACGAAGAACGTATCATTACCGATGAGGAATATGAGGAAAGCCTGTTAATGGCGAGATACATAAATCACTTAAAGAGAAGAAAATCCATTTGGTGAAGATTTCAAGGTTGACGCTGACAGGAAAAAGGTCATGTTTTTGATTGGCTCGACTTTTTGCTCATCTATACACACGGTAGACTGCCGTTTCTCGCTGCTCCAGGCTGAGAGATAATGCATACTTTGGATCAGCCGCGCTTCGTAGGCACGAAGAACGTGTTTAGGTGCTCGACGATCGGAACGGCTACACCGGCAGACAAAGGATACGTATAGCCATGCCCGTAAGGAACGACGGGGAGATACAAGGCAAAATAATTGAATCGAAAAGTGTTCCTGTTCACGTTTTTGCGGAATACTTTGCCTGTGGTTGCTTGCTTCGAGATGAAGACGTAGCTCGTATATTTTGAGCTCGTATATTCGATGAGAGGAGAATGTCTTGAAATAAAATTACCCCCTAACAATGAACTGGTTTCTCGATACTTTCGCACGATAAAAGGATAGATGCTTTTTTTACTCTAACGACTGTGTTAAATACTCTTGATGAGTTGATCACGTTTATGGTGTAAAATTATCGTGTATGTAGTTAAGTTTTTTTTCTCACTTAGAAGCTGATCAGTTTCTTTCAAGGAATTAATTGTCATCTAATTAAGCAATAGACATAGCGATCAGAATGCTAATTATTTGGTATTATTTAAATCATTAAAGAGAGATGAATTATGTTACATTCCATCTAACACTTCTTCTTACAAAATGTCACCTAACAGTCCCCAATTTGATAAACATTTATTAGGTTTTTCTCTTGAAACCTGCAATCTAATCGATCGTAGAAACGCCTTCTTCTTTTCATTGATCTTCCATTCGCAGCGTTACTTACGGATTCCTTACGATACTTCGATGTACGTGGAACTCGTTGAAATCGATGATCGTCTGTGAATTGCTACCGTATCGCATCGTTTCCATCAACCACTCGATTCAGCCAAGAGTAAAGAATCTTCCGTTCGTTTCTTTCAGTCCTTGATTAGTCCTCTTTCGATCCTTGATTTCTTGCCACATTCTAGTGCCATTTGCACGTGGCCTGTATTTAATTAATACGTGATGAGATGTAATTGGGAGGCATTGATTCTGCAAATAGACACGGACGTATATAAGTCACGCACCATAGAGTAGTTTTTGCACTGGTAAACCTGCCTACGGCGGCTTTACTCCCGTCTGCCAGGATGGCCGGCCATTACAAATACAGCACCTGCCACCCTGGCTGTGCGCGACCTGACCACCACGCTTTTGTGTATCGCGGCTGCCTTTCGTTACCTTCTTTCATTCCGCTCAGGTACGACCGATTCTACGCGAGCACGAGCGTAAGAAAGTTATGAATATCGAGCAGCAGTTAATTGCCAGTGTATCAGTTATCGCGCACGATGCCGGGAACACGTGGCTTGCAAGTGAGAAACGGGGAGATCAGCAACTTATTATAAACATTTTGATTTTGTTTTGGTTTTTAGTAGCCACAGGTTATTAGGTATCATTTGTCATTTTTATGAGACCGACAGTTAAATTTGATTAGATTTGTTACAGTATGTAAAAAACGCGGCAAAATTAGTAGACAAATATGATTCAGACTGTTAAAGGAAATTAGAGGTTTGAACTACATAGAATAAACAAGTTCTTAGTGTCTCCTTTTACGGTTTTTTGTTAACTTCATGTTTGTACGTACACGTGCGCGCGCGAGAGTACAGATCGTTCGTTATTTGTCGAGCGCGTAAGTCAGACAGCGCCACGTCTGTTCGCGCGGGAACTAAATCGAAACGTTCGCGTACCCATTTATTTTGTAGCTATTGACCGGCAACGCGGGTGGGAAAGGATGACGGATATAATTTATCCCAGCTAACACCTTTTGACCTTTTCAAATAATTGCTCGATCGTCGCTGCGCGCCGGAACGAAAATTTCTTAATTTTACCGCTCCTTTCCCGTCATACAGTCCGATGATGTACGATTCTATTCGGCATTTTTAAACGACCGCGCGCATAAATGCTTCTTCTCCTCGGCTTGCTTATATTCTTCGTGTACTCGTGGCCGCGTGTACAACCGTTATCACCCGTAGGCCATGCTAATCGTGTCGTTCCGACATTAATAATAAAAATGATTTTACCATTCGTTCATCTATTTCCAACGGCTATGCAAGGTGTTGAAAGGTAGTGTTCAACTAGGAGAAGAGTGTAGAATCACAGAGTAAAATTAACGTCAAAATCAATTAACAATAAAAAAATGTATTTTTTGAGAATATGAAAATAAGTAATGAATAATTTTGTGAAGAAATATGCTGTATACGGTGAAGACATACTAGGTTGCTCAAGAGGTTATCCTTGTATGAACTAAAGAAAAGAAAAAAGAAAAATGGATCGCGAAACGAGTCGCGTTAGGCTATAAAATCGCTCGATCAACCAGTTGAAGTTTAATTAATTTTCTCGAAGCGCCACTGAATTCCAGATGCATGAATCACGCCATCGGCTTTACACTTCGACTCAATGAATACTTTACACGGTGCACGGCGCCGTTACGTGGTGGGGGCGTGAGAGGCGGGCGGGATGAAGGGAGGGCAGTGCTAATCTTGGCGTTCTTTTTCTGCTACTAAAAACGTACGACAATCATTCGTCCGTGGCGAAATTACGCATTCGTCACGTGCGCGAGACACTGCGCGTTTGTTTTATCGGTATGCGTACAAACACGGTGTGTACACCGACACATGCAATGAAATAAGCAAGCATGAAAGAAAGAGAAAGAGAAAGAGCTGACAACGTTATCCAGCGATTAAGAGTCTCGCTTAAGAAGCATATAACTCAGTGACATTACGCGGGTAACCGTTCAACGAATATCAGCGTAATACATCGCTGGTGCTACTCAGTCGTGTTGGTTCGCGTGTTTGTCCCTTCCATACTTGTATGTATGTGGGTGTGTGAACCGGTGCACGAGATCGCGACGCGTGGAAAAGTTATGACGTATTACCGTCGCGACATATTTATTAAACGCCAGGCCACGATATTAGGCTGGCGTGAACGGACATTATGAGCTTAGGTACGGACAAGCGTTTGTTGTGCACCATTAGCTCAAGAAATTTACGGCTACCGTACGGCTGTCGTTCTCCTGGTATTCTACGATTTTTCTCTTCCACCCTTCTCTCGCTTTGCTTTTTTCCTCCACTTCGTGTTGTTTGCGTGTGGTAGATCTAGTTTCCTTGGTCAGACCTTGAAGATATTGTAGTAGAAACTGTGTGATTGCAGACGATCCTAATAGTCGCGGTATCTCGCAACTTTGTTGATAAATTAGATGAAAGAAGAGTTCTTGTAACGTTGTAATAATAGTTTAGAAAGTCTTGAATCTGGTTTTTCATGGGTTGTCGCTGTTTTCGTTCCAAGATTTCAAAATGCTGATCGGCTACTTTGGTTATCAATGAGGCGGATGGAAGAAACGCGCAAGGAAGTTGTATTGGTCGGAAATGTCGCTGCAAAGGAGCAGAAAGGATCGATCAAACGAATTAGCTCGGTTTCCTTTTACTCGGCTCCGATAGAGGGGATATCTATATATGGGTTAATTGGAGTGCAGCCCAAGGCTTGGGCCGTCCGAGCGGCCCTCGAAGTCATTTTTAGAGGCCCTTATGTGGCTTTCTACCCGGGCAAAAAATATTTTATATGCCCCTTCCTCTCGTTAGATGATTGTTTCGCGGAAAATGTCGACTGGACGATCGGTCTTATATCGTACGGTAGTAAAAATACGCGTTGGTATAAAACGATAGTTCCCTTTTTGCGATCCAATTAACGATTTTACAGGGCTAGGTGAAATTAATAGTATTTTATTTTAATTTCAATTGTAATTTGCAGAATTTCGATATATTTCGTGTTCGATTTTACAAGGAACTCTTCGACTAAAGATTCACCATCCTGACGGATGTTGACGAGAGTAGCAACATAATTGATAGAGTTTGTCATTTTGTAAAATAAAACTAGTATGTTGATTAGAAGCAAAGCAAGATCTCGAACGTGCGTGGTCGTCCTTTTTTCCCCTAGCCAGAGCAGGTTTTCTCTAGGAATGCACGCAGTCGGTTGTTTGATTTATGGCAGCGGTTAAAAGTAGTCTTGCATCTAACCGCATATTATATATTACACACAGCGCGAGCTTTATACTAGAACAGACGGCGAGATGTATTTACTATAAACGGAAATCGAACGTTCAGGAAGAAATCACATTTTCGAGGATGATTCTATCGTAGTCAATCGAGGTTCGACTTTTATTACGTCACGCGGCTATTTGCACAAAGAAGAAGGAGAGAAAAAGCGTACCGTTCAAAAAGGTACGGTAAAAGTTCAGGGGTAGCGTCGTAATTTGCCTGGACCCGCAATAAAACTGGCAAATGGTCGCATAGTCACGTTCGTCCTCCACGGTGTACGTTCTGCAGGAAAAAGAACGGTTCCACGATGAAGTCAGGCTAAGCCCTCGCTAAGGCTGCCCTGATACGCTTCTCTGCTGTTAGAGAAACCAATAAACAGGACACTTCTATAGACGACTGGACCGTTAGCTTTTTTTACGGGACAAGAGTCATAAAACGAGCGTTCAGGCTGTGACAATGAATATAACTGTTACTTTTACCTTCTGTCAGGTCCACCATCGAAAACGGGCCAGTCCTCTTCCGGGTTTTACCTCCCTCGCGTTGGCCAGTCGAGCTCGATCGTTCTTCGGCATCTCGTCGCTCTACTCTTAGCTTGAACGATCGTACAGTTGGTCCTTTATTTTCGATTTAAATCTTTATTCTCCAGTTTCTGATATAGTGACAAATTTGGTGCATCTGTTTGGGGTTGATAAAAGATAGTGGGGAATTTGTCAAAAACATCATTTAAAGATCATCTGTCCTAGTGGATGACACTCAATCCCGACTTTCTCGCCGCAAAAGAAGACACTTAACGTGACGATAATCATTGAAGCTACAAGGAAAATCTGAAACGAATCATACAAATTCGATACACATTTAGTATGTACACATAGTTCTTGGACAACATCAACGCAAACGCATTCACGCTCCGCCCACGAGGATTTACGACGGCGTGCGCGCGATATCCTGACCGCGTGCGAGTGCAGTCACGGGAGAAGCGTGTGGCGTTCGTCACATGCGCGAAACAGAGAAGGAAGAATCGTTGCAGAGGAAGAGAAACAAACGGGTTTCGCGAACGAGATCCGAATCAGGCCGGCCGGAACTACAGCCAAACTAGCGATAATCCGTATCCTGTTCATCAGCTTTGTTCGTTCACGAGTATTACACCCTAGAAGTGGTGATTGCCCGCGAGCCGATCGCGAATGTTACGTAACACAGAGATTGGGTGGTCTCTGTTATTCAACTACATCTCTTCAGGATCTGCACGTGCTTCTTCATTTGTACTCATCTTAGTTGTTTTACCACAATAATACCTGTATAGACTTCATTATCGCAGTGGGACAGTACCTTCATACTTAGGTACTATTCAAAGTGAGATAAGATAAATAGTCCGTTAACTCATTCGAGCCTACGTTACTGGATACAATTATGTGACATGTTTACAGAAATAGGTCATAGAGAATGGAACTTCAAATATAGAATTCTTATTATACTCATTCTAGTAGCAATTTATGTGTGATGTGCTATTCAAAGTGGTACGAAGACCATCTTTTTCAGATACGTCTCGAAGACACTGGCATACTTCCATATGTCACTTGTGAACATCCTGTACAGTAACATTTTTCTCCTGTACATTTTATGCAAGCAACAATTTTCTCTACCTTTAACCATTCTAGGCAGCTTGTTTAAAATCGTGTAAACCAGTCTGCTCGATCTATCCGCTCCATGAGATTAGAAAATCCTTCCCGCCAAAGCTTCGTGACATTCTCTCTCAACAAGTTGCCACTTATTGATTAATCTTGCATTCGAGGCTCGCGTGCAATTTCAGTAATTGGGTTTCAGCCTTTCTGGTTTCCTCGTTACACGATTATCCAACCCCGGGTTGAAATTTCGCCGCGTCGAGCAGGGCAAGGGAACGTTTCCCGTCGGATAGCCGCCATCGAACGCGAGTTGCATTCAATCACCGTGCTCCTTCTTTTACTGCCTTCGACATTTCGAGATCGTTGTTACGATTGATCTCCATCACGAACCTTTATCCTTCGTTTCGTTAGACAATTTCTATGGCTGATTTATTCTTGAATGAATGAAAAATAGTTTTATTTTTTAATCAAAGTGCTATTAATAGGATGTGACTAAAGGTTAGAAGAAAACTATAGTGTACTTCTAAGTGGTTTAAATATAGGATGTAAAAGTAGTTCATTACAGTAGTGTCTCATTTTGAAAAAGCTATAATAGAATAATTTAAAGGGTTGAACGAGCTTGAGGAAGTTGGAACGTTTACGCGTAGGAACGCTCGTATCATTATACAGCGACGCTTCGTTTCAAGATGAAACAGCAACGAGGCAGCTCCGTCTCGAAATTGCTATTCAGACCGTCGATTGCTCATTACTTTACTCACCGTAACTGAAATTACACCTTTCGTCTGTTCATCTCCCACGTTCTTCGTTCGATGCGCTCCATTTCGTCCCTTTCGATTTTACTTACTAGTCAGTTCACACGCTTTATATAGCATTTATTATCGAATGAAACACGCACGAAATTCTTTACGAAATCATCCTCTTGAATCGACGACAAATCAACGTACATAATGGACATCGTCGTTATCTTGATAACGAGCACTCGGATCGGCTGGTAGGAGTGGAATCCATTTCTCCTTCGGGCGAATCGTAACTCGGTCCGAGCCACTTGTAGCCCGGTCGTTTCCATTCGGCCAACTACAGACCAGCAATTTGTCCGTGAAACTTAAAATTTGCGTGAAACGAAAGTACTGGTTTCGTTTCGATAACGTGGAGTAGTGGTAGGAGCATGTTCCCTAAGCGATTTTTTAGAGCGCTCATTTTTCGCCCCTTAGTGAAGTTTGCTCTCAGTTGGTTCATGCGTTCAAGTTTGCTTCTTATCGGTTTGAGTATTTTTTCATATCTTCTCCTTGAGATATTAGTTTTTTGGTACATTGTAATTGGTACACGGTATATCTGTTGCGAAAAAAATGGTGACATAAAAAGCCACCTATACAGGTCACAAACGCATACCACAAGCCATCAGTGTTAACGTCGATGCATTTTTGCACGCTTATCACATCCCTTGCCCTCGGCTTTTCACGATTCTCAGCTCTTCTCGTATCTTGTATCCACGGTTTTTCCTGAATCCGTTGCCAGAGTACGATGGTATCTCGAAGAGACTCGAGGCAGCTTTGGTGTGCTTGTAAAAATTTTCCTGTGCAACACAAGAGGCGAAGAGTGAGGGATATGCGAAAGAGCGAGGAGGAGAAAACATAAAAGGCGGCAAAATGTAAACCAGTTATATCGTGTGCACCCTTTGGTTAAACTGAAACCAAGTGGTTTTATAGCGCCGATCCGTCTTGCCGTGCTATAACGAGTTCGTGACTCGACATAATACGATAACCCCCTAAATGTGTTGAACTTGTACAGAATCGCGGGTGCACGATGCTAGTTGAGCGAGAAAGAGAAACATGGAAGGAGAAAGGTGGCCGAGAAACAGGGTAATAAAGAGTGCGTGGCGGAAGACGGGACAAACTGCCGACAGAGGCTCTTCTTCATCCTAGAAGGAGAAATAGCGACCGTAAATCGTGCACGCGTGTAAGAATCATTACTTTAATCCAGCTGCGAGCTAGCAAACATCTTCTCCGACCTTCCCTTGCAAAAAACTAGAAGGCCACAGTGATTTAACGCGATTCAAAAACATTGAGGAGAGTGTAGTTTGTCGTTTAGACAGAATACAGTAGGATCTTGATATGTGCCTGCGAGGCGGGACGATTCATGTACCTCCAGAGAGGTCGAGTCTAGAATTTGAGATAATGAGATGATTTGGAATTCACATGATGGAAGAACTGAGAAGGAATGAAAGTGAATGATATGGGAATTTCCCACGCTGCCTGTATCTAGTAAAAATGAATTTTTTATTCAAAGTAATGAATGATATTATTAATGATTCCCGGAGGTCCTGTGCGCTTCATTCAAAACAGTCTATATAAAAGATCTCTAGCGACGTATAAACTAATTTTACTGTATCATCGTGCCCATGGAGATTTTCCAGATCGCATTCCACGCGATTGTGATGGATTCCTTCTCGTCAAAACCAGCAACGCCGCGGACCTTCATCGTACTCGGCGATCCGATACTATCGTTTTGATCTACACGTGAGGAGCTATAAATTAATAGCCAATGATCGCTTATCTTAATGCATTATATTCGCACAAGAGTATGGAAATTGCTACAAGAAAAAGGAGGGTGAGGACAGTTAATGAAGAGTGTAGAGCGGAAGTGGGACGAATTAACACCAGCGGCTCTTCGTCGTTGCGCTTTGAGTTTCATTCGGAGCAATTCCGATCACTCGTCAAGATTAGAGTTCCTAAGTATCATAATGTAATTTGAAATTGACAATCTCTGCACATATAAGGAAAAAGTATTAATATTCATCAAAAATTGTTTATGCATATAAGTTTTGAAGATGGTAGATGACCGAGCATTTTCCATATTTGATGTTGTTCGGTCATCAAAGTGGTAAAAAATATCGCAGAAATTAAAATGACGACGTGTACTATTAATGTAAGTGATGTGATTGGAATTGCCTGAAGGAACTTAAAGCCTTTAATTAAAAACAAGTACTGTGCTCTGAGAGATTATTGAATAACGATGGCGTGCCTTCAGGCCTCTCTCTTCGAGATCCTGTTCGTCCAAGCCATGCTAAACTCGTTACCGTGAGACGAACGTCCTAGCAACACTTTCGATGACAATAATGACGATCATTACGATAAGTACGTGAACAATAATGCTACGTTCCGTCTGAAGAGCGGAGTGCGTGTTCATTTATGTTTTTATTGAGCTTTGGAGCTGGTAAAGGCTTTTGGCCTCGACCCGGGTCGCACGTGGTAATGTGCCCTTTTTGATTTCATGTAACAAGCGTATTGGAAGAATGAAATTTCTGGGAAATTATGTAGGAAGCAATTTGCATGATTGAACACCGTTGAATCTTTGTTATAGCAAAGTAACAATAAGGTGAATTTGATAAAAAACATTTTCCCTTGGATCGTGTCAGGTTAATACGAACAACTTTCACTTAAGCTTCTGTAAGTTTTATAGCAAAAAATATTAATACATAGACTACCTTAATAGAAATTTCATTTTTTAATTTAAACTTTCAGTAATTCTTTACTGAATTACGTTGAGTTCTTTGGCCTCGAGTTTTCAGAAGATCAGTTACAAATAAAGAACAAATTTGAAAAAAGGATTCGTCTGGTGGAAGGCGCGTGCGCCCTTTACGACAAAACAAATGAACACGAGCATAAACATTGTTGAAAGATACTAGCATTCACGAGGGGGACAAAGAAGAGTAGAGAAAGGGAAGAGGGCCACGTCGAAGGGGTATTAAGATGGACGGTGCCAATCGTATGCTAATAAAGCCACCTTCTGTTTGTTCTTTTATCGGTTGGCCAAGTAGCTGGTGGATGTTTTGTCGTGCGACGACACTCGCACTGCAAGGAGGGTTCGGAAGGACGTGCTCCACATAGAAAGAAAGATCAGTTACTTGCTTTGGCCCTTTGTACTTGGAAATAGGGGTATTCTTGACTCGAAGAATATCCCGATCTCTGATTCAGTTATTCATTAATGCAGTATTATAAAAAATGTGACAGTATTATGCAGTGAACGTCATGATTTTTAGTATTACATATCTTTAACGCGCTGACTTAATGTATAGCTGACGTATACGCAGTCTATTTTCGACGTAGCAACCAACAACGTTCCACGTTTCTTCAGGTCACGATCCCTATTATATACCTCTTTCTTCTTTTGACAGGACAAATTATTAAAGTTATATCATTGGGAGG